TACATCTATCAGTAGAGGCTTGTAGACATATCCTGTTGGTTAGTGCAGTATGTTGGGTTTGTAGGCCTGGTATGTATAATTTGGTGGTTTGTCAGCTGTAGTAGCTATGACGGCCTTTTCAGCCTAGCTTTATATTGATGTTTAGTTAGCGCTAGTTTCCATTCAGTTTTATATTTTGCTTCGCAAATTATCTTGCAAGGTGGCCCCATGGCCAAAGTATGACATTATGTGTTCAGAGTCCCTTAGTCGCAATTTGGTACGCCAGGTTAGGTGAGGCACCGGGTGCTTGTCTCGCTCCTAGGTTCGGGGCATGATAGCCTCACCCGGCTCAAACCAACCCACCAGAGATCGACACCATCTCCCATACAAAGCCTCATACGGAGCCATCTGAATACTCTACTGGTAGCTGTTGTTGTAGGCAAACTCTCGCAAGGGGAAGAAACTGATCCCATGAATCCCTGAAATCAATGACACAAGCACGTAACATTTCTCCAATATCTGAATAGTGCGCTCGGACTGTTCGTCCATATGGGGTGAAATGATGTACTCAACTCAACCTCGGTGCCCAACTCTCGTTGTACTGCTCTCCAAAAACTGTGATGTAAATTGCATGCTCTTATCATGGACACTGGCACATCGTGAAGTCGAACAATCTCGTGCATGTAAATATCAGCCAACCGCTCTGAAGAATAAGTAGTCCCTACTGGAATGAAGTGCGCAAACTTGGTCAGGCAATCCATAATCACCCAAATGGCATCAAACTTCCTCGAAGTCCGTGGGAGCCCAACTACAAAATCCATGGTGATCCGCTCCCATTTCCACTTTGGAATCTCTAGCCTCTGAAGCAATCTACCCAGTCTCTGATGCTCATACTTTACCTGTTGACAATTAAGGCACAAACTCCATTATATCATTCTTCATTCTTCTCTACCAATAGTGCTACCTCAAGTCCTGGTAGATCTTCGAGGCACCCAGATGAATGGAATACCGCAAACTGTGGGCCTCCTCAAGAATCAACTCACGTAGCCCATCTACATTAGGCACACAAATTTGACCTTGCATCCTCAACACCCCATCATCCCAATAGTAACGTCTTTGTCATCACCTAATTGAACTGTATCATTAAGGACAAGCAAATGAGGATCATCGTATTGGTGCTCTCTAATGCGATCATATAAGGAAGACCGAGAAACCACACAAGCCAGAACCCGACTGGGCTCCGAAATATCTAATCTCACGAACTGGTTGGCCAAGGCCTGAACATCAACTGGAAGAGGTCTCTCACCAACAGGAATGAATGCAAGGCTACCCATACTCATTGTCTTTTTACTCAAGGCATCAGCCACCACATTGGCCTTCCCGGAATGATACAGAATAGTAATATCATAGTTCTTTAGCATCTCCATACAAATCTCCGCTGCCTCAAATTTAGATTATTTTGTTTGAACAAGTGTTGGAGACTTCGATGATCCGTAAGTACCTCACAAGACACACCGTAAAGATAATGCCTCCAAGTCTTCAATGCCTGAATGATGGCAGCCAACTCCAAATCATGAACAGAGTAGTTCTTCTCATGGGGCTTCAACTGACGCGAAGCATAAGCAATTACTCTATCCTCCTGCATCAAGACACACCCAATACTAATCCAAGAAGCATCACAATACACTGTATAAGATTCTGAAGGTCAAGGCAAAACTAGAACTGGAGTTGTGGTCAAGACAATCTTGAGCTTCTAAAAGCTCTCCTCACACTTATCCGACCACCTGAAAGTAGCACCCTTTTGGGTCAATTTGGTTAAAGGTGATGAAATAGACGAGAAACCCTCCACAAAGCGATGATAATAACAGGCCAAGCCGAGAAAGCTCTGAATCTACGTAGCTGAGGATGGTCTAGTCTAACTATGAACTGTCTCTATCTTCTTTGGATCCACCTGAATCTCCTCACTAGATACCACGTGCCCCAAAAACGCCACTGAACTAAGCCAAAACTAACATTTGGAGAAGTTGGCATAAAGCTTCTCCTCTCTCAACCGCTGCAACACAATCCTCAAATGTTGGGCATGCTCCTCCTGGCTAGGAGAGTACACCCGGATATCATCAATGAATACTATGACAAACGAGTCGAGATAAGGCTGAAATACATTGTTCATCAGATGCATGAATGTTACTGGGGCGTTGGTCAGCCCAAAAGACATCACAAAGAGCTCATAATGACCATAACGGGTCCTGACTGCTGTCTTTAGATTATCCGAGTCCCGAATCTTCAACTGGTGATACCCAGACCTCAAGTCAATCTTAGAGAACACCCTCGCTCCCTGAAGCTGGTCAAATAGATCATCAATGCACAACAAAGGATACTTGTTCTTGATCGTAACTTTGTTTAACTGCCTATAATCGATGCACATCCGCATAGTACCATCATTCTTCTTCACAAACATGACCATTGCACCCCAAGGAGACACACTTGGTCTGATAAACCCCTTATCAAGTAGTTCCTGAAGCTGCTCAACTCAGCTGGTGCCATACGATACAGTGGAATAGAAATGGGCTGAGTACCCGGCACCAAGTCAATACCAAAGTCAATATCTCTGTCTGGCGGCATGTCCGGCAAGTCTGTAGGAAACACATCCGGAAAATCTCGCACCACTAGAAAAGAATCAATAGTAGGAGTATTAGCACCAACATCCCTCACGAAAGCCAAATAAGATAAACAACCCTTCCCAACTGTTGACATCCAATTTTGTCCCTCCTTTCTTCCAAACTATTTCTTTAATCTTCTAATATCAGTAATAATGTAAGAATAGTTATTTTACCATTTTAGAACAAACTACACCTAATTATTATTATTATTTACTTAATATCACTACTTTTATTATTATTATTATTATTATTATTATTATTATTATTATTATTATTATTATTATTATTATTATTATTATTATTATTATTATTATTATTGTCATTACTATCGTCTTTATCATTCATACCTTAATCATATTTATTGTTACCTTTCACGAAAAGCATTTTTATTTCTTTTATCTCACTAAGCGAGAACATTTTTGCAATAACTTTTAAATATTACGAAATTATATTTAATAAATCTTGCGGCATGTTACGATTAGTATTTTATGTAAACGTTAGTAATTATAATTAGGTATAATAAATAAGTTAGTTACTTGATTATTTTAACATTAATATTATTGTTGATTATTAGAAGCCCAAAGAATTTCAAAAGAAGAAAGGAAATTTGGCCTAGTTAGTAGCCCAATATCTTTCTACTAATTCTACCGGCCCAAATCACGCCCAACAAGACAACCCAAGTAAGTCCTTAAACCAGCCCAAACAAATATTAGCCCATGTCTCAATTCTTTTCTAGATTCTTCCACTAGAAATATGTCTCTTTTGGATTTCAAAAATTCTATTTAATTATAAATAATTTTCTCCTCAAATCCACCACTGTATGTTTGACCTCTCATGCTACCAGACGGAATAGTCTGAATTGGCAGACCCCTCCATTTTCCCCTTTCTTGCTGCACAACATCCCAAGTTTTGAAGGCTACAGGAGAAGCCCAACCATTTTGGGTATTAATCTGAAACAAATCTGCTCAAAGTCTCGGGCAAATCTCGCTCATTATATGATGAACGGCTATTTTACCGTTCAAAACCCCACATTTCAAAACGTTAGAGGTAAAAATCCCGCCCAAAGAACCCTAAAATCCGCCTATAAATAACAAGTTATTGCAGCCATTTAGGGGGGAGCTTCAGACGACACCTCTATTCCCCTTCCAGTTTAAGTTAGCCTCTTAAGCTTGGCAGAGATTTTCTCTGCTCTAGTTATGTAGCTTTGTTTGTGAAAGGAGTTTGGACTGGAGAGTTGAGTGGCCCTCGCAAACGCCCTTAGTTCACTGCCCCGAAGAAGGTCAGTAACTTTTCTTCTCTCTGTTTATTTCGACTCTAAAATTTGAAACACTTTTATCTTACGGTACATTCCGTGAAAGTTGTTTAGCTTTTGGTTTTGTTAAAAATAGATGGTTAATATGCTCTTCGTCCTACTTTCGAGTCGTCATTCTGTGCGTTTTGGTTTTCTCCCTAGAAATCGTGTATTAGTCAGTAGTAAATAGTAATCTCGCAATACTATTTAGGATGGATATAGTATTTGCTCACTTAAATATCACATAAAAGAAAATAAGAAGTCATACAACTCGTTAATGTAACGGTTCGTATTTCTTAGATTACAAAGCATGACGATAGTTATATTTATTCCCAGAATATATAAACCATGTATCTAGAAGTCAAATATTGTGTATGAGATTTTCTTTATCTTTTAGAAATAATGCTTATAAGTTTCTAAAACATTTTTTTGCTCGGAAAAAATTGAACCAAAGCAAACGTGCTTTGTGCTTAATATAGATCTCGTTTCATTCAATATGTTTGCTGAAATCTTTAAGGCAAAAAGAAAGTTCTGTTTAATATACATAACTCCGAATATAATATTTTGATCTATCATTTTCACTCATCTACTTGAAAACTAAAATATAAATATGAACTCATCGTGACTTTATGAATTTCTTATTTGAATATGTTCTTTGTCCAGATACTATGTTGAAATTTAAATATTATGTGTTAATTCTCTGTAACTGCACTGATGTAGTTCTGCTATTTTCACTCACTTAGAGAAGCATGCCTTAGGATACTTTTGTTAAACTTTAAATGAGAAAATTGAAAGTTTCTGTTTGAATACTTCAATAGAGGATGTGTTTGAATCAGGGGATACGAATCTGTTAGTATAGCATTTTTAACATGACAAATCGTTTGCTGCCTATTAGAAGTCACAGTGTGACTCAGAGTCTGCTGCCTTACTTCTACTAATATCAGTTGTAATAGCAATACGACAATTTATATGAGTAAATAAATAGCGCAAATATTGTTCATATTCATGTTTATACTTATAAATATCACTCTTTACGGTTGTGCGAGGAAAACCTTTATAAGTAGGATTATAAACTTTTCTAATATAATGCACAAAGTGAGGGTTAAAAGAAAAACTATAGGGTAGCACATAACAGTAACCATTTTTGCCAATTCTTTCCGATCTTTTTTTGGATCATAATATAAAATACCACCGGTAACAGTGTTAATTCCCGGTTGAAATTGATTTGACCCGGTACTAAGGTCAGCCATACTAGGTGCACTTGTCCCCTCGGCCAAAGCTTTCATACAAAAATATCTAGCTTTATCTTGAGGGTGTAGCATATGTGTCTAGTTAAACTTCCCGCCCCCCCGATTTCCAACATATTTAAAAACTAACTCTTTGCCACAAGTTTTACACTTAGCCCTATTTTTTTCCTCTTAGTTGAGTAAAAAATGGCCAAACAAGAGATGTTTCTGCCCGTTTAGAAAGTTGTCTAGAAAATGTAGGGGCAGTAACAGGAGGGTCAGACGGGGATCATTTAGATTATTATTAGTTGGGTTAACTTCAGGAGCATGACTAGTGAGTGTATCGTCATCCGGTTGCGTTTCATTAAAATCTATTTCTTCATCATCATTTCATCAATAGTTGGATTACCATAAAGAGCATTCATATATTCATGGTTTAATTGTTCACCGGGTGCAATATTATGACAAAATTGACTCTCGGTAAATTGTAATAAACTATTATCGCTATCAAGAATAGCAGGTGTAAGACAGGTAACAGGTTTCGGCCAGGGAGGCGGGGGAAGTGGAGGAGGAACAGATTGGCCGCTAGATTCACCACTCTTGGATTTTCCCTTATTACTAAACATTTTTTTTAGGGAATAAGCCATCTTAATTAATCAAACAAAGTAAATAAAACAAACAAAACTATAATATTAAAACTTAAGAGTTGGAACGAGTTTACCGAATTGACGAATAACTTGTTGAAAAATAATTATCGTTGAAGACTTGAAGACTTCAATTCACCAACTTCACAATTTTGCACAAATTGTAACAATAAAGTAAGCAATTATAGAAGAATATTAGAGAGAGATTGATGATTTTGTGAGAAAATTAACATCACTACATATGTTAAGTCAACCCAGTTAATGTATTTTTAAAGAAAACAACTCCGTTAATGTACTTTAAAAGATGGCAAATAAGCAAGAACCGAATTTTCCATAATCAGCCCGTGTACGTACTCGTCACCTTGCGTACACATCGCTCACATATCACAAACTATTACAACAACACCAAATCCTAAGGGGATTTCCCACACACAAGGTTAGACAAGTCACTTACTTCAAATGTCGCTCAATCAATCGGTAAGAATGCCTTTCCCTCGACTTTCCAACTCCGAATGGCCCAAATATAGCAAAAAGTAATTAGATAACATAAATACAACTACAAGAAATTAATTTAAATAATGAAACTACGACTTTAGCAAAGAATCGAAAATTCGGCCCAAAAGGTTGACCAGGCCCCACGTCTCGGAATCGGTTAGAGTCAAAAAATACGAACACCCATTCGACCATGAGTTCACCCATACCAAAATTACCAAAATCCGATACCAAATAGCTACTCAATTCCTCAAATCAATTCTCCAAATCCTAACCTCAAACTCCCAATTTTCACCTTAAATATACACTAACTAGGTGGGAAATCAACGGGGAAACAAGATTATTGATCAAAAATAAACACAAGGGATTTATCTCAAGAAATTCCTCGAAAATGCTCTCAAAAATCGCCCTAGACCGAGTTTGCAAAGTCCAAAATGACAAAAATCACGAAACCCTTCGGTTTTAAATACTGCCCAAGCTTTCCGCACATGCAGCCAATTTATCCGCATCTGCGGCCCCTGATCCGCTTCTGCGGAATCAGCTCTTGGCACCCATTCCTCTTCTGCGGTCCAAATCCCGCTTCTGTGGGTGCGCATTTGCGCAAACACGTCCACTTCTACGGACATGCCTTCCCACACTCGTCCGCTTCTGCGACCAATCTTCCGCAGAAGGGACTCCGCTCCTGCGGTCTTTACGTCGCATCTGCGACCACTAGCCAAGTCCCCCAGCCCTGCATCTGCGCCCAAGTGCTCGCTTCTGCGGGCTTGCACCTGCGGTAAATCTTGCGTATGTGTGATTACACCAGAACAGCCCAGCACCAGAAAATCTTCTAAGTCCAAAAATGATCTCTTAACCATTTGAAACTCACCCGAGCCCCCCGGGACCTCAACCAAATATACCAATCAGTCCTAAAATATCACACGAACTTAGTCGAGCCTTTAAATCACATCAAACAATGCTAAAAATACGAATTACATATCGATTCAAGCCTAATAAACTTCAAAGTTTCAAACTTTTACATCTGATGCAGAAGCCTATTAAATCAAGTCTGATTGACCTCAAATGTTGCACATAAGTCATAATTGACATTACAGACCTATTCCAACTCCCGGAATCAAAATCCGACCTCGATATCAAAAAGTCCACTCCCGGTCAAACTTCTCAAAAATCATCATTTTTTCAACTTTCACCAATTAGCGCTAAAATGACCTACGGACCTCCAATTCAACATCCGAACATGCTCCTAAGACCAAAATCACCCTACGAAGCTATAGGAACCGTCAAAACTCCATTCCGGACTCGTCTTCACACAGTTCGAACTACGGTCAATTCCTATGACTTAAACCTCTATTTTAGGGACTGTGTGTCCTATTTCACTCCGAAACCATAAACAAATCTTCTCGGCAAGTTACATAACCACTAACTGAAGTAGAGGGAGCAATAAATAGGGTTTTGGTGCTAATTCTCTCAAAACGACCGGCCGGATCGTTACACTGCGCTAAACCCAAGGCCATACCAAATCTTGCTTCTGCGCCACTCCAGCTGCACCTGCGGCCAACCCCTCGCAGGTGTGATCACACCAGAGAACTCCAAGCTTCAGCAATGCACTAAGTCCTATTTTCGATCCGTTAACCATCCGCGGGAGGCCCCCGTGATCTCAACCAAACATATCAATAAGTCCTAAAACATGATACGAACTTAGTCGAGCCCTCAAATCACCTCAAACAACATCAAAAAAATGAATCACATCCCAATTCAAGCCTATTGAAACTAAGGAAATTTCAAGTTCGACGCCGAAACCTATCAAATCACGCCTGATTGACCCCAAATTTTGCACACAAGTCACAAATGACACCACTCTCAGTTAAACTTTCAAATTTTCAACTTTCGCCATTTCAACTTTCGTCAAATTTTCAAATCACGCCATTTCTGGACACGCTCCTAAGTCCAAAATCACCCAACGGAGCTACTAGAACCATTAAAACTCCATTCCGGAGTCGTTTACACACAAGTCTAACATCCGGTCAACCTTTCCAACTTAAGTTTTCGGCCTTGAGACTAAGTGTATCAAGTCATTCTGAAACCTCTTCGGATCCGAACCTACTACCCCGGCAAGTCATGTAGCAACAGTAAAGCATAAAATGAGCAGTAAATGGGGGAAACATGGCTATAACTCTCAAAACAACCGGTCGGGTCGTTACATACGTAGTCTCTAAGACTAGGTGCCATCATTAAATCCTCCGGTGTAGAATTGGAGTCGTGACAATAACCATCCCCGCAAGTCATAAAACTACAAATGCATGTGTGAAGCTTCAAAAGGGGAAACGAGGTTCAAATATACAAAACGACCGATCGGGTCATTACAATCTATGTAATTAATTTAAATTAAAAGTGATTTAAAACATAAATTATATTGTATTTGAATTAATTTAGAATTATGGTTTTATATTAATCAACTTCCTTTATAGTGTTTAAAATATTCTCTTATATATTTGTCATTTTAACAAAAAATTGTTTATTATCACTTTTTACCAAACACATCGGTAACTTATTTTAACTGCAATACATACTTTTATCCAAACATGTAATTTGTTTATAAAATAAACTCAAACACTTAAAAGTATTT